TGGGCGCCACGGGCACCCATCCCTACTTTTTCACTTTGGCATCGTAGGTGCCTGCGTTCTTGTAGGCACTGACGTAGCCGCTGGTGTCCACGATGTTCTCCCGCCCGCTCTTGCCCTTGCCCTTGCCAGTCTCGTCGAAGCGCTCCTTGTGGGAGCCTGTGTACTTGGAGGTGTCTGTCAGCCTCTCCACGGCCCCTACTGTCTTGGCTTTCTGCGGTGGGGACATGAGAGTCAAGAACATGCCCCCATCCCCTTCATCCCTTGCCCCATGCAAGCTCCTGACACCCACTGAAGACCTTGCCATGCTCCCCACGTCCTATGCAACCCCCAGACCCATCTCTGCCCACCCGGGGCCATGGGGTCTCCTGGAAAGCATCTGCACTGAGGCAGAGCTCTGTCCTCCCTTCTTAACAACCCTTCCTGCTCCCAGCAGCTGAGGGGCTCCTCACTCACCGTGACACCCACGTTAATGGGCTCCTTTCCTGCCACCAGCTGGCAGATGGCTTCATACGCCTCCTCTTTGCTCTTGTCCTTAAATCTTTTGGAGGCCAACTCCTCCAGCGCCTTCTTGAACTCCTCATAGTTGATGACACGGGCTGTCTTCCCTCTGCAAACAAAAGACCCAGGCTGCCATCAGCACATCTTCAGGTTGTGCTTACAAATGGAATGAACTGCATCAAGGGGACCTGTCTTTATACTCCACCAGGCTTGGGCCCCTCACCCAGCTCCAAAACTCAGCTGCAGCAATCCCATTTGAATGGGTTGGGCTGGGCACAGCTGGTGCTGAGCTCCAGATTTTCAGCTGCATGCTGTTGAAGGCCCTGGTGCAAACAACCAGGGTACATGGAAGTGCTCTGGCACTTGTCTGCTGGTGTCAGGAGAGGATGTACATTTTTCCCACTGCTCCCAGCCTGCCTGGGTTGTCCAGCACCCTCTCTCCTGGCAAGCATTAGTCCTCTGGTCAAATGCGGAAGGATGGGCACAGAACATCTTCCACAAGCTCCTGAGCCTGTTCTCTGGGGCAGCATGGCAGCCTGCCTTCTTACATCCTGAAAATTTCCCAGTGCTTGGCCACTCCTGACCCCACTCAGGAACAAGGGGATGCTCAGACAGTGTGTGCAGAGGGAGCAGGTTCTCCACCCATCCTTGCTCTTGCACCCTAGTGTGTAGCATCAGGTATCACCATGTCCCCAGGGACCCCAAAAGCATTTCCAGGTGCCTTTTAGCCCTTCACACTGTTCCTTTGACCTCCATGGATCAGAGTTCTCCTCAAGCTCAGGTGTTGGCTGACCAGGCCTGGGGATGAGCCATGCCACATAATAAGGAACACCCCTGAGCACTCTCCTCTGCCCCCTGCAGCATCTTCTTGTGAGATGGGACCCTGGCAGAGCTGGCCAGGCCCACCCCAGTGCCTAGAGTGGGTGTAGAGGCAGAGTCTCTGCACCAAATCTGAGCCTTCCACCCCCAAATTTGGGTTAATTTATGATTAGATCTTGCAGAAGCAGCCACACATCCTTCCTGAAGGGAGCACACTGCAGGTCAGTGCCCGCTGCTCCGTGCTGACTGAGATGGATAGCCTGGGCACACAGCTGGGGTAGGGGACCCCCACACCCAGGCCCTGCCACTCTGCCCACACTGCAAGGGCATCCCCACCCTCCAGGCAGCTGGAGGCCCCAAAAATCCAATTCACTTACTTCACCTTGGAGAAGACAATGTCCACGTCGGTGCTAGTGACGCTTTTGCCATCGGTGACTTTGCAGTCTTTGCACAGTTTGGCCCAGTTCTTGCCATTCATCTCTTGCCCCGTTGCCTTGGTGTCGCCGTAGATGGCGAATTTGCGGAAGCTTTCTTCCAGGGATGCCATCTCAGCGTTCCCAGCCATGGGGCTGCAGGACAGGGGCAGAGGGGCCTGTCACCGCCCAGGTTCTGGCTGGCTGCACGTCAGGGCTCGGCTGGCTGCTCACGGGTCCTCAAGGGCAGGAGGAGGAGGAGGAGAAGGACTGGCGACAGTGGAGGCACAGCAGCAGGATCGGAGTGTTGGCAGTGCCTGCGGGCGTGGGGTGAGGGCTGGCACCAGCCTCGGCCAAGCCCCGAGGCCAACAGCCAAGAACGTGTCTTGGGGAATGGAGGCTCCTGGTGGAGAGCTGTCAGCAGCAAGGCTGTCGGCTCAAGGGGCT